TAACTTTTATTCTTATCACTGGCTGTCGGAGTGTGTCTTAACCCAGCACTTGAATTCGTCTCAAACAATTTAATATGTTGCCTCTTTTTCCTTATAGGCTGCATATTCGAGTTCGGATTTCTTTGAGGCTAAAAGCTTTGTTGATATGCTTGCGAATAAGGCCGATGCTCATCGTGGTCGTTTCCTCGCCTCAGAACGCTTTTCTTCAAAACCGGGAGAGCGAATCTTCTGGGAGTCCCCGCGAACCCTTCCACCCGACGTGAAGGTCAGCTTTGTAGATATCTAGTCTAAAAAATTTTGCCTGAATACAGAAAAAGCAAAAGAGGACTGATACGTTAACTCTCCTTTCGATTTTTCCTTCTTCTCTCAGAACCAAGTCGCTCCAACCTCCTACGAGACTAAGCCTCTCTTCAAAAGAATTTTTGTGCGCGGTAGAAAGAGGGCTCCCTTTCTTTCCTCGGCGCCTCGAACTCCGTGTGACAATTTGCTGGGCCCAGTGGTCAGGAAGTTTATGCCACTTTTAACCCATATTTTTTGTCCTTTTCTATTGAAATCAACTCTGTGCTCGATAAATTTGTGATAACTGCAGAGAAAAGAGAGTAAGTACGATCGGTAACAGGTGGGAGTTATTTTACAAGGCGTTAAGAAGAGCTTAAGACGGCAGGGGGTGTTTTTCAACAAAATGAGTATCCAAGTCGATTTATTGCTAACAACCTGGCTGAAAGACCGCCAAAGTCCTCAGTGTTCACAGTGAAGAAGAAAAACATTTTTATCAGGGTCCTGTTTCAAGCGGACGCACCAAGTGCACTTCTTAGAAGGCGCCTGCATCAAGGTGTATAAGACACCTTTCCAGCAGCCGACGCCTACGTACTGTTTTTAACTACTCCCATCCTATACGGAGATATGGGGGACGAATTTCCAGCCCAGACCACCTCTATGGGCATCTATCTATTCAACTGCTCCTGTGGGGCAGAATATATTGGTCGCACGAGCCGGCGTTTGTCCAAAAGAGTACGAGAACACATTCCAGCCTGGCTAGGGAAGGGTTTAATAAAGGGTATTAACAGTTTCATTCTAGCGCATCTGGTAGCCTCAAAATCTCGCGTGGATGCCAAAGAGGCTTTCAGAGTGACATAAAAGGTGCCCTCATGCTATTCAACATTCCTTTGACAGCGTCTTTTGGCACCGACAGAAGCGGCTGCCATCAGGCTATGCAGACCGGTCCTGTGCGCCCAAAAGAACTTCGTGACGGCGCCGAAGTTACCATGGCTGAAAGTCGCTACTCCAACAGCCCACAGCTTATCACCATTCTCGGCTGCCAGACGTCCTGCCGATGATCAGATTGTTGACCCCAGTGCACTGTTCCTCTTTTCTCGTCCTCAGATCTGAACAATTAGACACATTAGTGTTGGTCGCAGCGGCGGTGAGGAAAAAAGACGCCAACTCCCAGATTGCAGCTCACTCGACGGGACCTGGCCATATTTT